TACCCTTATAGAAATATCATACTAAGAATCATTGATAATTACTTATTTTCAGTATTAAAAATACTGGATAATAAGTAATTATCAATGATTCTTAATATGATATTTCTATAAGGGACTATCACTTTGACTGAGAGAGGCTTTGTATTGTATACATGTGGTATATTCATGTACGAAAACAAATGATTTATTTAAAAGAGAATAGAAATGTTTAAAATGCAAAATATACCCTTATAGAAATATCATACTAAGAATCATTGATAATTACTTATTTTCAGTATTAAAAATACTGGATAATAAATAATTATCAATGATTCTTAGTATGATATTTCTATAAGGGTATGTTTGAAAAGTATGTAAAAAGTATATTTAAAAAATATTTAAAAAATATTTACTTGTTTCAAAAGTAAATAAAATACAAATAAATCATTTTATAAATTTAAATAAATTTTTTTCTGATAATAAAAGAAACTTTAATTTGAAACACAAAAAAGATACTTTTAATATTAGAAAATTATTTAGATTTATAAAATGATTTACTTGTACTTTATTTACATTTAAAACAAGCAAATATTTATTTAAACATTGTTTTTACATAAAAAAAACTAATTTTTTTCTTGTAAGGATGTCATTTTTTTAATACGAGCGCGCGTTCGTGCTCGTCACTACGGTATCCACGCGCGCTAATGCTAAAGAGCGTAACTTTGAAGCCTCTTAACTCGAAAAGTACTTAACGAAAAAATACTTAAGTATAGTGTTTTGGAAAGCTCTCGAGATAAGCTACAAGAATATACAATAAAAAATGGGGGTATCCATTTAAAAACATCATTGTGACCTTGACCTGATCTTTATGACGCAACTCAAGGTCAAACTGCTAATATCATAAAATAGATCTTTTTAAACCCTACAACTTTTGTATTTAACATTTTTTTATACAACGCTTTGTTTTCGAGATATTCAGGTGTTCCGGTATATAATATTCACCCTGTATATATATATATATATATATATATATATATATATATTATATAATTAATATATAATTAATATATAATATATAATTATTAATATATAATTAATATATAATATATAATATTATAATATATAATTAATATATATATATATATATATATATATATATATATATATATATTAATATGTATGAAATTACAGCACCATTTTATTAGGCACCATTTTTTATTTATTAATAAAATAAAGGAATAATTAATTTTCTTATATTAACGCTTTGCACTACATATATCAATCTAATTGACTTCTAATTGACATATTGTAACATTCTACACAAAACATAACAATTAAATTAAAAGTAACGATAAATTTTATCAACTAATTATATTAGTAAGAAATTCCATTTCCTCCGTTAGTACATTCATATTTTATTATGTCGTCACTTCCTCTTTTCAATTCTGATTTTTAAAGGGTTCATGGGCATTAACACAAGATCCATCTTTAATTCTATGTCTTCTATTTTGACCTTCTTGTCCACTTTTAATATGTATGTCCGCAACAGAGTTGCTATGAGAACTTTCATAGAAGTCATTGCATACCTCATACCTACAATTTTATAATTTAATTTCATATTTCGCCACAGTACAGTTTAGCTCATGTATATTTACCTAATATACTCGTCAACAAAATCATCGTATAAGTAAATTCATGACAAAATTTCGCACAATTTTAAATAGGCATAATAGCGCGAAACATTATCGTATTTGTAATCTTTTTTTTTTATCAATCTATTGAGTGGAGTAAATTTTTTTCACAAATCTTACGATAATCATCGTAAAATTTATAATCATCGACATTTCCTTGTAAATAAAGAAAGAAGATTTTTTTCCTTGTAAATTTCCTTGTAAATAAAGAAAGAAGATTTTTTTCCTTGAAAAAAATGAAGAAGAGGTGTGCTAATGGTAATGCTAATGCTGATGGTAACTGATTAAAAATGCACAGGTAACTTTGATACACCGTACAACGTCGCGGAAGAAAGTCGTGCACCACCTCTTCTTTATTTTTTTATTTGCAAGGAAATGTCAATATTTTACGATGATTATCGTAAAATTTTGGAAAAGAATTCATTCCACTCAATAGTACGTCAAATTAAGCGATTAAAAAAAAATACAAAGGTAACTTTGATATGTCGCAACTCCGCGAAAAAAATATCGTACAAATCCGGTTTTTTTTAAATTGCAAGAGAAAGTCTATATTTTACGATGGTTATCATGAAATTTACGAAAAAAAATTTAGTCCACCTCGTAGGATACGACAAATTGTGCAATTTTTTGGAGACGCAACACGTCTTTACTTTTGAAAAGACTACGGGAAGGAGAGATTAAATTCAAAATCGGACGAATGCTCCTTAAAGAATGGACTTCACACTTCAAAATAAAAAAAATATATTTAAACACGATAGTGTTTTGCGGTATTATACTCATTTAAAATTAAAATGCATAGGTAACTTTGATATGTCGCAACTCCGCGAAAAAAAATCGTACAAGTCCATTTTATTTTTATTGCAGGGGAAAGTCTATACTTTATAACGGCTATCATGAAATTTACAAAAAAAATTTAGTTTGTCTAGTAAGATACGTCAAATTGTGCAAATTTTTGGAGGCGCAACATGTCTTTACTTCTGAAAAGACTGCGGGAAAAGGAGAGAGTAAAATCAAAATCGGACGGATGCTTCTTAAACTACAGACTTTACTCTTCAAAATAAGAAAATAAGATTACAAATACGATAATGTTTCGCGTTATTATGCCCAAAATTGTGCAAATTTAAAATTGTGCGAAATTTCGATATGAATTTTACTATGCGATAAATTTTTTGACGAGTGTATGATAAAATAATATGTAAAATCATATATGATATATGATTATATATATTAGGTGCGCAACTAAGTTCCCGCTGTTTGTCAATAGATGGCTCCAGCAGTAAGTGCTGGTCGATTTTGACATATCCAAAACGTCATGAACCAAGCTTAGATATATGGTAAACAAACCGCTTTGACACGTTAGTGATTTTGTTTTGGCGTCATATACTTTTGGTTGTGTGAAAATGTCTGATTTTGTGCCAAATAATCGTCATTTGCGGGAAGTGTTGGTTTTCTTATTTCATTCGAAGAAAATGGCAGCTGAAGCGCATCGAGAGCTCCAAAAAGGAAGGAAATGCTGCTCTAAGTGAAACAACGTGCCGTGATTGGTTTCGTCGCTTCAAAGACGGTGATTTCGATGTTGACGACCGTCCGCGTGAAGGAAGGCCAAAAACCTTCGAAGACGCTGAATTGGAGGCATTGCTCGATGAGGATCCGTGCCAAACGCAAGAACAGCTTGCTTCAGCATTAGGAGTTACCCGCCAAGCCATTTCCAAGCGATTGCATGCGTTGGGAATGATTCAAAAGCAAGGAACTTGGGTTCCTTATGATTTGAAGCCAAGGGATGTTGAGCGTCGTTTTTTCGCCTGTGAACAACTGCTCCAGCGGCAAAAAAGGAAGGGTTTTCTTCATCGCATTGTGACGGGTGATGAAAAATGGATTCATTACAGCAACCCAAAGAAAAAAAAGTTATGGGGACTGCCCGGTCATGCTTCTACGTCGTCGGCTCGGCCGAATATTCACGCTGCAAAGGTTATGCTGTGTATTTGGTGGGACCAGGTCGGTATTATTTATTATGAGCTGTTGAAACCGAACGAAACCATCACTGGGGAACGGTATCGAATTCAATTGATGCGATTGAGCCGAGCACTGCGCGAAAAACGGCCACAATACGAGCAAAGGCACGAAAAAGTGATTCTACTGCATGACAACGCTCGGCCTCATGTTGCCAAACCCGTTAAAACCTACTTGGAAATGCTCAAATGGGAAGTCCTACCCCACCCGCCATATTCCCCAGATATTGCGCCGTCCGATTATTACTTGTTCCGTTCGATGGCACATGGTCTGGCTGATCAGCAGTTCCGCTCATATAAAGACATCAAAAAATGGCTTGATTCGTGGATAGCCTCACAAGACGAACGCTTTTACCGTAACGGTATTCGACCCTTATAGAAATAGCATACTAAGAATCATTGATAATTACTTATTTTCAGTATTAAAAATACTGGATAATAAGTAATTGTCATTGATTCTTAGTATGATATTTCTATAAGGGGAGCTCTGCCAGAAAGATGGGAAAAAGTTGTAGCTAGCGAAGGGCAATACTTTGAATGATTCATTTGTAACCATTTTTCACAATAAAGTTGCATTTTCATAAAAAAAAACAGCGAGAACTTAGTTGCGCACCTAATATATATATATATATATATATATATATATATATATATATATATGTATGATAAAATAATATGTATATTTACCTAAACAGTTCCTTGGACCGGTACCAAACGGTATATAACTAGATGGATGAATATTTGCTATATTCTCCGGAAGAAATCTATCTGGATCGAATGTCAACGCCTTCGGCCAATAATTTTTATTGCGATGCAAAGATAATATTGTTATAAAAAAATCAGCGCCCTTCGGTATAGTATATTGTCCTGAAACATATTAATCTGTAAATAAATATTATAATAAAACATCAAATGGAGGTAATTAAAATAAAATAATATTTTATTGTCCAGAGCAATCAAATATCCATAATGAACGGAACACTATTACTTATTGTACAATTCGTATATATTGCTCCACTACACAATTATGTTTATAAGCAAACCTATTTGTAAATCTTCATTATTTCGACGTCCTACGAGAGGCACAACGGGGAAGAGTCTCAATGTTTCCTTAATAGCACACTCCATATAGTTCATATGTTGCAAGTCTTCGAACTTGACAGGCGCGAATTTTGGGTCTTGCGTACCATAAATTTCCAGCAATTCCTCGTACACTTTTTGCTATTGCAAAATTTTGTATTTATTTATTTTATACACAGAATATTAAAGCATATAAATCGAAACACCTATGATATCTAAATCGTACCATAAAATGTAAAAAAACAGAGTCTAAGAGGCTATTACATGTACAATAAATGCACTTTTGTTCACTTTTCATACTAATTAAAATTCTATATCATAAAAATTCTATATCATGAAATATAAAAAAATATAAAATATAAAATATAAAATAAAAAAATATAAAATATTTCTATATCATAAAATACAAAATTATGTTTAACAGTTCAATAAATATGATACGTACTTGTACTTCTGGGAAATTTGCTAACATGAACATCGTGAAATTTAGTGTGATTCCAGTTGTTTCGGAGCCCTGTGTAAACAAAAACTTGTTTTAATCCTCGGTTTTATCAGTAATTTTATTAAAACATTATGGAAACAACATTATGTTTCCACAGATTACATAATACGTACGGCAAAAGTTATCGTATTGATTTCATCGATAATATCCTTTCTAGTGAATTTTTTGCCTTCGTCAGATGCTTCCATTAATAAATCGAGGAATACTTTTCTTGCTATTTTTTTTTATTCGAACAAAAATAAGTAAAATAAAAAAGAATGCTTTTGGTTAATTAGTTACTAGAATTGAATGTGTTGCATGCGTATTTATTTTTTCATGTTTTTAATAATAAAAATTTACGACTGATCTGTATGCACATTCAATGGATGTGGTTGCATCTGTCTAAATAACGTGTTGCAAATAAAAAAAAAATAGGGGACATATACCTTTGTTTTTCTAATATTTTAAAATATAACATATATATATACAGGGTGTCCCGAAGTCCCATGATGACCCTTGGTGAGAACGTAGAACGGATTGAGGTGAGCAAGAAAGTCCTGTGCCGTTTTGCGATATTCGCAATAGTTTTTGAGAAATTAATTATTTTGTCTCAACAAATCAGCGTACAGAAAGCGGCAGCGGAAAGAAAGATGCCTTCGGCCGA